TGAGCAAATGGTTATCTTTTTAATTCGGTTGAGATATTACGAAGCTGACAACGGGTTTGGTGACTAATTTTTATTGCCAAAAGTGGCAACATTTTGGTTTGGTCCCTGTATCACCGTAATAGGTATTGTAACTGAATAAATGTTATAGATCACTATATTAGCTTTAACTGTAATTTGACTCTCATATTGCCTTTCAGTTATTTCGAGAAGCAGAAAGTACTAGAAATATCTCAGCAGCCGAGTTAAAACTGTGTAAGGCTGGTGAGAACATTTGCTCTGAGTTGTTGTTAGCTGTATTTGCATTGCATTGTGTTTAACTTTCATAGCAGTTTGAAATGTAACTACTGATTATACTTTGTGATATTGTGAAGAATTGTATAACTATTTTTGTGGAAAATTTCAAACCTCTGAAGTGTTTCTTTTGATAAAAATAAATTTCATCAACCTATCATCAGAGCTGTGTGCATTTAATTTATTATGAACCCATACACATGCAACATTGTCATTAGTTTATAACTATCAATAAAATATTTGTTTCGATTTTACTGTTATGTAAATACGTGTATCACTTGTGTTATACAAAAATTAGATGGCAATCATTCTATTTGGAATTATGCTTTTCAAAAAGATTTATTAATAAAGCATTTAACCAATTTTAGAAAAAAATGGGAAATAACCAAATTAAAAAGATTTTAGGGACTATTACAAATTAAAGTTAAAATTTTAACTTATATAAATACATTATTATGATTACATATATATACAAAATCAACATATATCTTAACAATTTTATTTATCATTTATAATTCACAGAACCAAATGCAGTGGGGATAGGAAGGAGACTTAATTTAAATTTAGTAAACTGGAGCTGAAATTAAAAGTACTGTACGAGAGTTACAAAGTACATAATGTAAGATAAAGTGCGAGATTTTAATTCTTGGCATCCACCATAAATATTGTTGTGTGCATACGGGTTCATAATAGATTGAATGCACACATATCCAATGATAGGTTAATAAAATTTATTTTATCAAAAGAAACACTTCAAAGGTCTGGAACTTTCCACAAAGTTATAAAACTCTTCAAATTATCAGAGTACAATCAATAGTTACATTTCAAACTACTATGAGCATTACACACAACGCAAAGCGCAGCTAAACAGGAAGCTACCCAGAGTTATCTCAGTACTCCGAACTCACGCTGAGCTAACTGCAACAACTGAGAGCAGATGATTTCTCCGGCCTTAAATAGTTTTTACCTATTTTTCAAGATATTTCTAGTACTTTCTTACTTTTCGACAATATGAGGATCGAATTATGATTACAGCTAATATTGTGATCAATTATATTTATTAAATTACAATACCTATTACATACATGAACCGGACCAAAATTTCGCCAAACGGCTGTCAAGTTGGGCAATTTTTGGCTATGTATCGCCAAGTTTGGTCACCAAAACTGTTGTCAGCTTGGAGACATATCGCCAAATTACCGAGATATCCACTTAATATTAAACAGATTTGTCCCTGTATCCTTACTTTTCCGGCATAGCTACTCTGGATTTTTCACGTTACATTACACAGAAAAATACAATTTCACACATACTTGCACTAAAATCATCCAAGTACAAAATTCATAATAATATTATGTTGCATTTCAACAAATATTTCAAATTTTGCATTCAAACTATGCATTGTGAATGCAAGAAAATCAGGAAGTTTATAACTAAAGTGAATGTAGATAACACTGAGGACCCAAAGTATAAATGATATAAAGATTTATCCTAAAGTGTAATCCTAAAAAATTTAAAGCACAGCACTGGATAACATTTTAAAGTTCATGCATAGTCATTATTTAGGAAACATGATGAAAGAACCTAACCATTCCCTAAAATGTTCAATAGAAATGAAATTTATTAAAATGTTCAATAGAAATGAAATTTATTCAAACTGTTCAATAAATTTCCTGAAATGAAACTAAAGAAGAAACACTATTAGAATATTGAAATCTTGCATAAATTATTTATCTGTCAAGGCAGTGGTTATCAAGCAGTTTTGCCCATGTACTACTTTCACCATTACTGGATCATCCTCCCCCTTTTCAGAACTTGAAAAATATGTATATGTTTATTTATATTTTTTTTAACCATACAGCAGAAAGCAGGTAGAGTCAGGCTGACAGCATTCTCCCCATGAAACTATGAAACTCTCCCTACAGAGGACCTTCCCCTGGGTGAGAACCCCTGCCATAAGAAATTTACAATCATAATTAATATTTATTCCATTATAAATTCATATAAAACCCAATCTTTTAAATAAGCTAGGAAATTTACATATAAATTTAAAGAGAACAGTAATAACAGTAAAAGAGAACATCTGAATCAACACTGGGAAGGATGAATGATCAAAGAATAACTGATGGCTCAACTTTATGTGAGTGCAAGAAATTATCATTTGAAAGCAATTATTATCAATAATTCATGGTAAATCCTATATAAAAAATAATGACATCCACAATACACAAAAATTTTCAATATCACTGTACAATTTCCAAGAATTATAAAGTTAATCTGTTCTGAATGACAACTTAATCCACTCAGCATTAAACTCTTATAAATAAATATATATATATAAAGAGAGTTAAAATTAAATCTTTCCTCTACATATGTATGTGGATTTCAGAGCCAATTTTGAAAATCAAATCATTAATAACAGGACTACTGTTTCCAAATGGGCTACAAACATGAAACATGGTTCTATTCATATATATAATTGTTATTCCAACTGAGAAGAAGAAACAAATAGCATTACAAATAAAACTCATTAGGAAAAGACATTAAGGACAAAAAGTATCAGTTCTGCTGAATACTTTTAGATAATCGGTTAAAAAAAAAGATAAAACATTCTGTTCGCCATTAAAATCAAAATAGCATAACAACGTGATGGAAGTACACAACCTGAAATACTCATAAAATGATAAAACAAAGAATATGCAAATGATAGTATGCACATATTACAGGCAACAATAATGATATCCCAAAGCAGAACAAAAACCAATCAACATGCTGGTTTTTCTTTTGTAAATCATGTCTACTCATTGTTTTTCATGTTGGAGTTGTGTGTGCTAGTCTTCATGTAAGAAGGAACTTGCATTTTTCAGAATATGACCGTGGGAGAATCAGAGTCTAGTCAGATTACAGTTATCATACCACACAAATGCTGCTCATGTTGGTCAAGACCACTTGATCGTTATAAGTGGTGCAACTTGCAACTAATGGATCCAAGAAGGTGCACAGAGAGAAGTGCTAGAACTTGGAGGCTTCCCAATTCACAAATGCCACAGATCACACACATCTTGTTTGCAATGTGTTAGGGACTATATAGCTGCATGCCAACCCTGGGTCAGCACAGTGGATGTATAGCATAGCATCAAGTATCCACATGTACAATGCAATGCTATGCCACATAGCATCAGATAATCAATGATTACTTTACTTGCCCTTGACACTACAGCACCTACAATGGTGCACTGCCACTGCATTCGATTCTGCATAACTAACCAAATTTAATTACCATTATTTAAGCACATAATGTATGGTCATGAAAATTAGGAATTATTCACAAAATCCTTATGTATAATTAATTTCAGTTTGAATGTTACAGCTTTTGCACATGTATGTAACTTTTGCTGTATAGGATGGCCCAACGGGTATGCCAGATTTAATTTTAAAATGAAACACAATAAATTTTTATTTAATTTGGCAATTTTTATTGATTTATTAAGTAGATATCTTGAGATCAATTATGGAATATGATGTCAGCCAAATAGGTTCACAGTAGTGCTGGCACACCATGACCCATTTTGATCAAATTTTGAAGATGTTTTCCAAGTTGGCTCAATTTTTAACAATGATGTGTTGGATATCTGTTTTTAGTTCAGAAACTGTCTGTAGTTTGCCAGCACAGATGTTGGACTTTACAAAACCTCAAGGAAAACGTCACATCGTATCAAGTCACAAGATCTGAATTAGCAAATTAATTACAGCATTTCTGGAAACCTGCTGATCAGGAAAATGTTGTCTTAGCAAATTAATGGCTTCACTTACTGTATGGCATGTGGCACCATGTTGTTGAAACCGCATTTTATCAAGATCCATATCATTCAATCAATCTGAAAAAAAGTTCGATATCATACTCCATTTAGAGATGAAGCTCGAACAGACTCAATTCTAAAAAAAAGAATGGCCCTATGGCAAACTGTTTTTATTAATCTTGATGAATACAGATAACAAATGTCAAAATTAGGTAATTACAAAATTAAGCATAAAAAGATAATGGGGAATTTACATCTGAATTACCTGATGAGCCACCCTTTCTAAGTTCAGGGATTAAAATAACTCCAGAAGTTACAGACAAATCAGCATGAACATCAAAGGTAGAAATAATGAAATGGAAAGGATAGGATAGTTGAATAAGATATTATTTAATTTTCAGTTGATGAAACAGATAGGCTATCCGTGACAGTTCCTTTAGAACTGTACATGCTAAGCACATGAATTTTATGCTCAATATTTAATTTCATAAAATAATCTCTTTTACCTAACTTTTAATGAACTGTAAAATGTTCTCTACTTGCAACACACTGTAATAAAATGAATTAAAAGATAAAATATTAGTATAGAAAATAATATTCAACTTTCTAGGGGAAAAAATAGAATAACATAAATTATGAAATTAAATATTTGCTACAAATACAGGACCAGTTAAACCTCTGATTAACAAAATGTTTCAAAATTCTTGCATCAAGAAAATTCGTTCAAGCAGAATTTTAATATATTTTCAATCTTCTCAATATACATTAAAAGCTAAAGCATATTTTATTATATTTTTATTCTTGTTAAGAAATAAAAAAAATATATATATATATATTAAAAAAAAAAAAAAAAAAAAAAAAAGAAAAGAAGAAACAATGTTAAACACAACATCTATCCTAGCAACTTACTTATAATGTCTTGGAAACATTTTCAGTTCCTTTTCTTGCAGTTCTCGATATTCTGGCAATAATTTCAGTAACAAAGGATTCTGAAAATTATCATATTTCAATATGAATTAAAAATATTAATAATGTTTCCACATAATTTTATTCAAATTGGTCTCATTTGAATTATTCTGCTGGAACAAATATTATCAATACTATATTTCCTCATATAAGAAATCACAAGATCAATTAGGGCAGCTTCATTAAAGAATTGACTTTTAAAAATTAACAAATATTCATGAAACAGTAACAGAAACAAATTTTTTAATATAATTATTGTTAACAATTTAAGATGCATCTACTTAATAACTTAAGTAGCAGCAATAATGATTGTTATATTTTCAAATGAAAATAAACAGCACATCTCATAAAAATAAAGAGAGGTCTGCTTTTAGAATTTTTATATAAGTATTTTCTTACATTATTGAAAATTATGCATATACAAAAGAATAAAATACAAAGTAAATTCATATTTTGCTTTGCATATATAATGCTTCATATTTAAAATATAGGAAAATTTAAAGGCAACTAAGTGTTAGGTGGAAATGATTCCACGTTTAGGAACAAATATAGTTTTTATTTATTTATTTTATTTATTTTTTTTTTTATTCAGAAATAAAGCTAACAGTAGAGTAAAAATTGACAGTTCGTACTTTGGAAGAAATGTTGTTAATTGTTGAATTAGGAGGTATAGTGGTTAGGGGAGCCTACTAAGGTACTGAAGGACCCGGGTTTGAAACCCGGAGAAGACATGGCTGTTTGTAAATGTATAGTGTCCGTGCAGTATGGTGGCACTCTAAATATCTGGTGAGCCGAAAGTCTTTTCATGTGGATTGGTGGGAGTCGAGAGGGGTGGGAGAGGATTTTAAAAATGTAGTTAAAAGTAATTTAATAATAGGATTTTTATTTTTTCATATAATGGGGTGTGATTATTTTTTTAATATAATGGAATGTTGTAGTGCAATTCACGTAACCACTCATGAAAATTTAATACATGAGTCAGCTTAAAGTGGATTTGCCCAAATAGCTGGATGTGCATACTAGAAGAAAGCTGTAGGGTCTTCCAGTTTGAGTAAAATAAGATAATTGTAAAAATGTAGTAAAAAGAAAAGAAAAAAAAAAATTAATAATAGTAAAGTAAAAAACATAGTTTAATAATAATAGTAAAGTATTACTATTAAATTATTATTATAACATTTAATTTTTAAGTTATTAAATTATAATAACATTTAATTTTTAATAACATTAATAATAATAGTAAAGTAGAAAACCATAATTTCAATCATGCTATTACAAATGATAAAGTATTATTTATAAATGTGAAAATTAGTATGGTGTAAAATTTTAAGATTTATGATTCTTTATAATAATTAATGAGTATATAAAATTTTTATAATTGTGATATTGTATGAAAATTTTTTTGTGATATTGTGTGAAAAAATTATATTTCTCATATTTTGCTGCTCTAATGCCTTTTTCTCTCAAAAAGGCTTCTCTGTCACTCCGCCTTTTTCTTTTTGAAATGGGTAATGTGTAAGATAAAAAATATTAAGGCAAACTTCTAGTTTTAATTGGCTATGACCTCTTTTAGTTTTATTTAATTTGGGAACTTCATCTCTCTGTCTTGCCCAATCAAAATAATTGCAAACCAAAACTAACTTGAATTGAAATTTTTGATTCCCTCCCTTCTTTCTATTTGAACTACTATGATACTCTTCCCTTTTTTTTCGCTTGTGCCTTTCTCATGGTTAGACGTTTTGTTGCAATCATCTATGTGCTGCAATGATCGCTTATATCTCAATAGTATCAAAACTGTTCTGGAAATAGACACAACTGGAATGCCAAATGAATAGTGTCCACAAAATGTGAATTAAAAAAAATAAGGAATTTAAATCGGCTCGACCGTTTACTCTTCTTTAAAATGGATGGACATTTTAAGCATCAAGTATCTCCACAATCAGCATTTCTATGCATCTACGTTGTAGTGTTCTTGCATTCAATGCTTCCAAAATTGTGCTATCATTACATACACACACACACACACACACACATATATATATATTAGGGTTATTTCAGAGTATTAGAATTTGGCATTATGAAAAATAAAGATACAGAATTTGATATTTCAAAAGATGAAACTGGAAACGTAAAAATTAAAACATATTACATTCAACAACAAATGTGTCTTTTAACACTTTTGTACTCAATTGTTAATAAAATTGTAGGATTTTGACAGATAATAATTATTTGGCAAATTATTATGAAAACATTGCATTTCCTGCAATGAAAGAAATGAAATCAATATAATAAGTTTTAACTTCCATTTAAATCATTAATTAATAATTTCATTGATGGCATGTACTGTTTTTAAATAGGTATAAAGTATCTATTCTTACTCCTGATTTTTTAAACTATATTAACTTTTAATACTACTTCCTTTTTAAAATTCCTATCTGCTTACAATAAATTAATTTCTACTTTTGGAACTACTCTGATATGCGCCCTTAAGTCGCCAAATTTCTTGCCAAACATTTTTGGCAAGAAACTCCACGCTACCATATTGCTATCTACGTTTTTTGTCTACATTTCGAACTTTACGCCTAAAATATCTCCAAAAACACAATTTTCGCGAATGCAAAAACCACATTTTGAACACACAATTTAAGCTAAAAATCCGAAACAAAAACAAAAAATTTAGATAGCAAAACCGTAAAGTTTCTAACCAAAATTATTTGACAAGAGTCCATGTACACAGCGATATGTTTTAACTTAAAAAAATATCTACGAATGGCACAATCTAGGCAACGAATGAATCTATGAACTACGCACACCTCACTTTAATAAATTAACATAACAACAATAAATTTTAAAGAATACCATGTACACAGCGTGCTGTTTCAACTTAAAAAAACATCTACGAATTGCACAATTTAGGCAACAAACAAATCTACGAACTATGCACACCTCACTTTAATAAATTAACATAACAATAGATTTCAAAGAATGTATACAGTGTTCTGGTTTCAACTTTAAAAAACATCTATGAATTGCACAATTTAGACGGTACGCACTAATCAACAAAATAACTAAAATAAATTTCAAACAATTAAAAAAAAAAAAAAAAAAAAACAGCAACAATAATGACAGAAATTCATACTAAAAAAACAATGAACATAACATTCTACAAAATAAGAACAAAAATAAAATAAAATGCACTTACCATGAATCAATGCTTTTTCGAACAGCAGAAATACCAATTTCATACCGCCTTTAGCATGCCACCACGTAATCACTATCGTATTTATATGTCAGCCAGACACACTATCCAGAAAATTCATACTATGGTTCACAAATAAATAAAATAACAAATAATCACAAATCCCTACTTCTATCATGCACAGCCACTAAAAATAATCTCCTAGAACCTCTTTCCACACCTCCAAATACCCACTGCCCCTCAACAGGATGGCCAAGATGATATTTCCTTTTGCCGAACTTCAATTCAACAACTTCCACCATTTTAGCTTCTCAGACACAGAGCATGACACAAACCAACGAACTCCAGCGACAGATTTTTCAACGTCAACAGGGTTGCCATACAACACGCAATCGCGGCAAAAACCAGTGCAGAACACATATCGCTACATTTGGTGAAATTAGGGCGTATATCAGAGTTGTACCCTACTTTTTATTATTTACATTGTCACCATGCAAAGCGATTCTCTTAACAGTCCCCCCCTTTTTTTTTCAATAGCCTGTGATGTAAGTCTAGGCAGATAAAAACAGCTTTTTTGCTTTAATGTGTTTGCTTTTACTTTTTTGCTTAATGCATAGTATAGTTGAAGCATTAAAGATTTTGCAATTAATTATTTGAAATGAAGCAATGCAATTAATTAATGCAATTAATTGTTTGAAATGAAGATGATTTTGCATTTTGCAAGCCTAAATATTTTTTTTAAAAATAAAGGATGGAAAAAGAAACACTGTTTCGCATTTCAATTATCAAGCAAATTTTGCTGAGGAAAAATACAATATTTATGTTTTATTTTTTAAATTGTTAAATGATTTCCATCACTAACAAAATATTAAATCAGATTTGGTACTTTTCCGTTTTGGCAGCGCAAATCTCGCCAAGCAGACTTTAATTGGCGACATACAGTATACACATAAAAAAATTTTAACAAATGTTAGTTCTAAAAATTTTTTTATTTTGAAGGCATAAACATTTTAATATCGTTTAAAATTTTGTAAAAAGCCAATAAATAAAGACAATAAATTTGTAAAAAGACATTAATTTAAGAATTTATTATGCTTTCATGGTTCAACAAGCTGATTCTACAGTTTATATCACGTGACCCTAAGTGATCTCATCTCAAACTATGCTACAAAAATCTAATTCTCTCAGTAATTATCTACATTAATATCAAGTTAAATCGTAATTTAGAATACAAGTTTAAATGCAAGAATTATTTCAATTCATATGAATAGCTTATTCAGAAATTATGTAAAACCACAATGCTTTACTTCGCTAGTGTATTCTCATTAGAATTGATGAATTTAACCCTTGACTTTGCCTTTTCTATATTTTCGCCTTTGGGTGAGCGGTGTGATTGCATTCTAATTGACTTAATTACCACGATGGCCTTAGGGCATAAAATTGTACTATCTGATAAAAATTCTATGTAATTGTATACCAGTATTGAAAGAAACAATAAATCTGATAAGAATGGCTGCACTTTTTTTGAAAATGAGGCGTAAAAGGTTACCAGTGAGGATATTCCATTTAGCATCACTTGTACCATTATTGGCGACTTTATTGGTTGTGCTGGCAAAACGGAAAAGTACCTCCGATTTAAAACACAGAATAAAATTAGGCTACACAAATAAATTAAAACAGAAAAATTTCAAACTTTTGAGTAAATGTATTAATTATAAAAATTAAACAATTGAGCACAAACTTGTATCTGCAAAGGATTACTGCTGAGATGATAGCCAGAAACTAATTGTGTTCCTGCTTTTGATGCTTCAGGAGAACGTGCTAACTCAAGAAAGTGAGAGAAAGAATCTTCACACCATTTACTGAAGAAAAAGAAAAATTTTGTATAATATTACAACATATTTTCAAAAATTTATAGAAACAAATCACACGACTATTAAGCTCATCTCATCATTTTCTGCATTGCATGAAAAGAATCCAATTTCAGAAGTAATTTTAGCATGAAAAGAATAGATCTAGGGCAATAATACCATCAATAATGAGAATGTAAACATGTTTAATTTTTCTTCACTTAACATAGAAGTTTTATTTAATAGCTGTTATTTACTGACAAATAACTACTAATGTGCTAACAAATAACACTAAAAGTACAATTTCATACTGCATTTTTAATAAGTTAAAACTTGCATGCACATAAATAAGTAAATTATGCAAATGAGGATTCACGTTTTACTTTAAGGAACTTAACTTACAGAATTATATGGTAATTATGCAAGACACATAGCAAATGAATACAAATTTTCTACCTAATATTTCATATTTTAAATTCTGTCATATGAAAGATAACAAAGAATAATTATTTTAAACTATGTTATAACACAAGGAAGAAACGCAAAAGTCTGGTTGCACAGAACCTCTAGAGCAGTGGTGCGCAAACTAGGGGTCGTGACCCCTGTGGGGGTCGCCAGAAGTTTTTGGGGGGTCGCCAAATTTTTATGAAATGTATTATGCCTGTATGCTGCATACCATACAGTGTACATATAAAGAGTGAAGCGGCGTCACTCACTGTTTAATTGCAATTTCATTCTGTCCGCTCTTTCTTTGACCGTAATGCGTAATGTATGTAAAGTGTGAAGACGCAAGTTTTTCACCCCGGTAGATAGCGCCCTCTTCGAGGTAATTCGCCAGTTTTACTGAAAAGCGCCTATTTGACTAGACGTTAAGCGCAGGGAAACGGGGGTCTTATTTTCACATCTTGTCTCTGCGACACCTTTGTTCTGTTTTTTGTACTTCCAGGAACCCATATTAAACGATAACTGGCAAAAAGCCTGCAATCCACGCAGGCTATGTCCAGTATAACAGCGGAAAATGGAATAGAAATGGAGGGAAAGTGGAAAAATTCGCTTCCGTGATCAGCCAATCAGATGGCGAGGTACGCGGTGTATCTGATAGTCACAGTGAAGACGTGAAGTGTTCGCGTGAAGTTGTAGCATGTAGCAGTTGGCCTGCAATTGTTTTAGTTTATCCTCGAGTTTTATCATGTGACGTTGTGTAATTATCATTTTTTATAATTTTATCGGGCTTTGCTACTCTTTGTTATCAGGTTACGTACTATCATTAGAGAAAGATCTCTGTTAATTTTATTGAATTTCTCGAAAAAAAAATGAAAAAATTTTATATATTATTTGCTTTAGTTTAAATAATTTAATCCCTATCTTCATAATGAATAAATGGGTAATACGTACACCAGGTACATCTTCAGCTAACAAAAGAACAAATACTGATGAGGAGTCGCAAAATACTGAACTAAATGCCCGATCTAAAAAAATAAGAAAATACAATGAGGAATTTATTAAGTATGGTTTTGCATTTTGTGTTGTTGATCATGAAGAACGCCCGATATGTCTCATTTGCAACGAAAAATTAGCAAATGAGAGCATGAAACCAGCTAAATTAAAAAGGCACCTGGAAACTAAACATAAAAACTTACAAATAAACATGCCGATTTTTTTCAAAGACGAGCTGAAAATCTGAAAATTCAAAGTGCACATTTAAAGAAATTTACAACAATACCTCAGAAAGCATTATGAGCTTCTTTAGAAGTTTCTTATCTAATAGGAAAAACAATGAAACCCCATACAATTGGAGAATCCCTTATCCTTCCTGCAACAACTAAGATGACATCAATTATGCATGGCGATAAATATGGAAATGAACTAAAAACAATACCATTATTAAGATATACCGTGTCTCGGCGGATTACCGAAATGTCACGAAATATTGAGTCAGAAGTCATAAAACGCATACAAAATTCATCTGTATTTGCTTTACAACTGGACGAAACTACCGATATTACTAAAATGTCACAACTAATTATTTACGTTAGGTTTATTTTTAATGAAGATATAACAGAAACGTTTTTATGTTGCAAAAGTTTGGAAGGAAAAACAACTGGAGAAAAAATATTCGAAGTAATAAATGAATATTTTGAAACAAAGTCCCTTACCTGGGCAAACTGTGTTGCGGTTTGTACTGATGGTGCTGCAGCATTAACAGGTTCGAATAAAGGGCTCAGAGGCTTAATTCAGAAGGTGGCGCCTCATATGGTATTTAATCACTGTATGATTCATCAGCAAGCTCTTGTTGCAAAAGATATGGATGAAGAGTTGCACAACATATTACAAGACGCTGTTAGTTCAATTAACTACATTAAATGCAATGCCACAACAGCCGTCTTTTCAATACTTTGCAATGAGATGGGCTCAACGTATGAGAGATTACTGTTACACACCGAAGTCAGATGGCTTTCACGTGGGAAAATACTACGACGGATATTTGATTTGAGAAATGAAGTGTACATGTTTTTAATCGAAAAGAAACATAGATTGGCAAGTTATTATATCAATGAAGTTTGGCTAGGGAAGCTGAGCTATTTAGTTGATATTTTCGAAAAACTTAACAACTTAAATTTGAGCTTGCAGGGTGAGAATTCAACTATCATAACTTCAGCCAGTAAAATTCAAGCTTTTAAGAATAAGCTTAGTCTCTGGCAAACTGAACTGAATAAAAACAACACCGACATGTTCCCTTTAACTATTTTATCAAGGAAAATAATATAGATATATTTACATTTAAAAATATCATTTCCAATCCCATTGAAAAGTTAAAGGAAAATTTTTCAAGAAGATTCAAGGGTTTTCCTGAAAACGATCTTGGTTGGATTCGTGATCCATTTTCCTTTGACATATGCAGTTCAACTCTTCAAATTAGTGAGAAAGAGCAATTGATAGATTAAATTAGTGATTATACTCTTCGAAATCAATTTAAGACTCAGCCTTGCCAAAAATATTAGCTATCCGTGGAAAAACAATATCCCGTTTTATGCAAGAATGCCATCAGAGTGTTAATACAATTTGCATCAACGTATTTATGTGAAACTGGATTTAGCAAACTAGTTTCAATAAAAACTAAATACCGCTCGCATTTAAACTCTGAAGATGATATGCGAATTGCAATTAGCAACATACATCCAAACATCGATGAGATAATTAGAAACTTGCAGCCACATACATCTCATTAAAGGGCAATTTACTGATTTTTGTGTTATACAAAAAGTATTTTCTTAAAATTATAAATAAAATGAGTCAGATATGATGATGTTTTTATTCGATGAAACGAAAGAAATGCGCGAAATAGACATCGTATTTGTGAATATTTATCTCTAGGGGTCGCCAAAAATTTTCTCTCTACGAAAGGGGTCGCAGTCGAAAAAAGTTAGCGCACCACTGCTCTAGAGAACAGTATCAAATATAACCACAAAAGGCAGCAATAATAGCACTTACATGGCTAAGCATAGAGCAGAATACACATACCTGGTAAGGTGGGATGTTCTTATTTACATGGCTTCACTTCTTTAATAGAATTCATTTGTTCATGCCATTAATGATCATTGACATGCTAGTTTTTCTGCAAACATGGATCAGCTATGCCCCACTGGTGAAAAAGCTGATAAATACATTAGCAGACAGAAACTGAACATGTTATCTACCAAGGAAATACAGGATACAACATGTATGTTCCTGTGCATGTTTGTATATGTTTGATATTGTATGTGTTTGATAAGTGGCTCTATAAAAGGACTGAAAATATATGACAACTATAGTGAACAAAGAGAAAAATTAGACGACATATTGAATTTATGTAAATTTTTCCAAAGTTAGGCTTATTAGCCCAAACTGCCCATCCCCACAAGATAGTGCATCCTGTAAGCTCATCATTCCAAAAGTGTGGTTCGCTGACTGAAGATTACTGAAGTCATTTAATATGGTTTATCAGTAGAGATTATCAACAGAAATGACAAAGGTGGAATAGCAAAACACTTTATGGGATACTAGAAGAATATATGTTTAGACTAACATGAGAACATTATACATCTTCTGTATATTTGAAAAGTGAAAAAATAGTATTCTATAAAAATATTCAATGTTTGAATTACATATATCATGAACTATATGCAATTTTACTTAAATCAATGAGATTCAAAAGTTTAAAAAAATAATATTCTAAGAACTGCATCTGATGCTTTTAAATAACTTAATTTGTTAATTAATAACTCATACATTTAATTCGACAGACAAATATCTTATATTTTGCTGAATGGCATCAGACTCAAATGAAAAGTAAAATGTAAAATTGTATTTCAAGATTAATAAGTATTTTGGGGGAAAATATATACATACATAAAATAAAATGAAAAAATAAACAAATAAATAAATCAGAAAAAAAAATTATATTTGTTTTGTTTCATTACAGTTTTTTCAGTGCAAGTTGTTTCCAGTTTCATTTTACATGTTCATACTTTAATTTTATAGACAGACATAATTTTTTCAACTGAAAACAAATTGTTCCTTATTCAGTTACCATAGCAGCTGTGGGTTAGTCTACACGGTACAAAGTCTTTAATCCGGACTCGTCGGGATTTCGACGACTCCGGATTAGGGGTTTTTCCGGATTATAGATCATCAATTTAAATCTGGTAAGATGGCATGCAGAAATTATACAATTCAAAATATGAAACCGTAATGTATGAAATAAAGAGCAATTATGATCTAAAGGGTACCAAATTTTACAAAAAAAAAAAAAAAAAGCTTAATATTTTTTTGTTTACTTTATTAAACACTTCTTTCAATGCAAGTTGTTTAAGTTGCTTCATTTTTTGTGCTAATACTTTCTCTTTAATTCTATAAACAGACATAATTTCTAACAAAGTTCCACTGTTCAAGTCCTGTAATTGCTGTGCCGAAAATACTGACTAACTTGTCAATCAAAATTTTTTCCTTTTCACTAACTTCTCTGTTACTTT